TGACACGTCATTTGATCCGATAAACAATATCCGACAACAAATGATCCGGTAGATCAGAGGTCTCCAACCTTTTTTTATACGGCGGGCCAAATTTCAAATACGCTTTGCCTGCCATTGAGGGCCAACATTTTTAGAGGAATGGATAGGTTATGAAATTGAGGTATAGATAAGATTTATTTCGAAAAAGTTTGGTTTGTATTAGCAGCGTCGCTTGTAAATGTTCCTCACATAAGTTAGTTCTGTACTTAGATATGACATATTTTATTTTCAAAAAAATCTGCTCACATAAGTATGCTGAGCTAAATATTGACATCATTTCACACTCTTGTTTTTTGAGATTTGGAAACGATTAATTTGGCTACATGGTGTAAAATTGTTGGAGACTATTTTCCATGAAATAGTATAAAGTCTTTGATATTAGCTCTATAACTCCATTCTGAAGGTCTGTCGGTTAAGTTTCGAATTTTATTGAAAACAATTTTCGGAAATTAAAATACGGTCTACTGCAGATTTGAAATTTCTAAACTTTGTCTGGAACTGCTCTTTAAAATAAGTGAGAACTAGAACAGCAAAGTATATTACAGTAGACTTGCACAGTTAGAAAAACCCGTTGATCACACGTTCGATAGCGTTATTATTATAACGAAAAAAGTCGATGGTATCTTATCTGACCACTGTGTAACTTCCGAGTACAACGTAAGTCGGATAAGTGCGATTGACGAGTTTTTCTATTATTATTAGATAGTGTCAGTAAATAATATATGTTTGACTATTGTAAGTTGTTATGATTCATAACTTATGAAAAGTACCGAAAGAAAAAATAATAAGTTCAATTTATTTAATTAAAATTTAAAAACGCACATTGAAAACTTATATATGATTTTCAAGACATTAATTAGCTTGGCGGGGGGCCGTTGCAAACACCTTGGCGGGCCGGATCTGGCCCGCAGGTGGTGGGTTGGAGACCCTTACAGTAGATAATAACCCGTTGACAAAATAACCGGCCATAATCAGTTTTATCGTTTTCATATTGTATACAATACATTACAACACTTTAACACAACACAACACAACTTCAAAACATTAACCCCTGTAAGGTTTTATTAAACGTTTTTCGACATTATTTTTAATAAAATTAAATACACCCCTCACATTTGTCATAAGACAAAAAAAAACTTTTTATTCAGTGGATATTTACAACAAATACATTAAAAATACGATGAAACAATTGTGAGGAGTTCCCCGTTGAAAATGCCAAATCTATACGTGAGACTCACTTGTTATAATGCGAGCAATGTATTATTAGGAAGGATATTATATTATATTATAATATTATTATCATATTTTTTATTTTATTTTTTATTTTGAGTGTCGATTCGCCGATGCGCGGCTATAAGTGCAACTCAACCATCTAAGTAAGTATTACGTAGTATAGATTATTGTATTATTATAATATATATAAATTTAAAAAAAATGTAAGGGGAGTTAATAAAAGAAACGGATTATTGTCATTCACCAAATATTGCTCAAGTCGAAGCTAAAAAGGTGGTTAATTATATGAAAGAAACAGCTGCAAATGAACAAAAAAGCACAAGAAATATGATCACAAACATCGATATTATCGTGTCACAGTTGGTAAGGGTCCTGTACACCTGTAATAAGAATATATCAACATTTAAAAAGTGATGCTACTTCACATTCTGCATATCATACTCCAGACGACACCGCTCACCTTTATCCACAAAAACTAAGTAATGCTGCAAAACGAAAAAGCCTGTCGGATCTTAGCACTAGAACTTCCAAAATTATTGGTACAAAACGTAGTGCAGATGATGTTATTCAATTGACAGTTATTAAAATAAATTTAATCCGGAAAAACATTCATAATACTCGTAGATCAACCCTACCAAAAATGTCTATAAATATATTATTATTGTTGCAATTATTATTTTGAATTATATTTCAATTGAAAAACGTATAATGACCAAATGTAAAACATATGCATTTTTATATTATTTACAATTGTATAACTAATTTACTTATAACTATGACTTCTATTAAATAAAAATAAACATCAATGTATTTTTGTGGTAATATTTTTCTAAGGCTTTAGATGCATTTCATGTTGAAATCCTGTTCTCTATTAAATGGATATTTGAGATATTCTGATGAGAATGTGACATGTATAATTTCTGTTAAACCTATTCTATGGTGTATGTGTGATACGCATAATAACATAAGCATAACATTGTATTTCATACAATTTGAATTTATCTAAATTTTGTCAGAGTTAGACATCTTTAATATTTTTCAATAGATAAAATAAATCTAAAACTAGACTCTTATCAAATTAACATGGTTCATGAATAAGTATATAGACATATGGTGCACACAATAAATGAGTAGCTGGGTGCAATCATATTTTAATATATTATGTCCCCAGTATTAAAAATCCACTAGCAGCTACCGAATCACATAATTCAAAAAAATAAAAACGATACTGATAAAAATCAATACCCATAGTTTAAGCGCCATAGAAATTTTAAAATATTAGTCAAAAGTATCCGTAATTTTTTAAGTTCATAATTTATCTATACATGGAATCAGTTTTTACTGTAATATTTTGGCAAAAACGATTTCAGCCTATTCTATTGTGCTTCTGTACTACGCATTAAAACGATTTTACACATCTGTTTAAAATGTTTAAAGCCATTTCGGTGTTTTTGACTACGAAATATGGGTAACAGGTGAAATAATAAAAGACTGAATACTAATAAATAATAATATACAAACTTATCAGCAAGTATAATGACCTACTTATTAGAAACCTTGTTTTTAATTTTTTAACACGTAACTACAAAAATTACGATAAATTTTTAAAATTTAAAGTCACTTATTGATATTATTAAAATTACAGACCGTTTAAAATGTTAGAATAAATGATCGACTGAGAACGGTTTCGATTTAAAAAAAAACTTTGAATACCTGCCATTGTGACAAATATTTACTTTTGATATAATTTTTAATTTCCAAGACGATTTTAATCGATTTGTATAGATATTCAAAATCGGTTACGCAATTGATTTCAAGCAATGTTTTATTATGATTGTATATTATATCATTCATATTTCAGAATTTTTCCGAATTTTAAAACATTTTTGCTATTCAAATTTTTTTATGTTCGCTGCTTATTGTAATTCAGTGACTTAGGTGCAGTGGATATTTGTTTCTATACTTATTTATCAAGAGTATAATGTGAGTGTGAAATATTATGGTCTTGTATCCTGGGCCATTTTATTGGCCAAGTACGCGTAGTCTCCATTTTATATAAAAAAAAAATATATCAATATTTTAAAAGCAAAATCAAAATCGGAAAAAAATGTTTTTGGTTTCCACCGTTAGCAGGTGTAACATTTTTTGTGTATGAAATCTACATGATATTTAGCAAAAATTAAATGATATATTAATATTTTTATGAACAAATTTTTTTTCGAAATATTATTCGAAGGTACATGAAGCTTTTTTTGTTTATCGTTGTATATTATACAAGCAAAAACATATTTAATGAAATATTTTGACAAAAACTTGTTCAACCTACTGTATTAGGCCACGTATATAACAACGATCATACATGTGTTTAAAATGCCAGAAGTCATTGCAGCATATTTAGTTTCAGTATATTTAAGTAGACACAAGTAATAAAAATATGATGTGTGTGCATGTGTGTGTGTGTGGATTTAAAATATTCTGTATTTGTTCGTGAACTGTGCTTTTGTGTCTGACAATCAATGTATCCCGAGCATTACTTTAATACAATAATCTTTTGAATCTTCTTATAATAGTAACACAATTTATAAAAATGTCATCCACATAAGTGTACCTGCACTTATATTATTAATAGTAAATGTTCATATAATGTTTTTAATTAATTAATGTGGTAGGTTGTCAAAATATGATTTGCAAAGAATCAATACGAATTGTGTTGTTGTTTCATTGAATGTAACGATAACCACAAATACTTTACAATCAATTGTATATTTAAAGGACCACCACCACAAACATTTTAAATTCTGAACGGAGCGATGAATGTATTGATTGTACAACTGTGTACGTTTTTTATTTTTCGTGACTGCATATATTCGACATGTATCTTCAGAAATGGTTTGGTGCTTTTTTATTATGTCGGACATCCCTTCGTTGTAGTATACGGAATATAATATTCTCGAAGTTAGTAAAATAAAATATATAGAATTAAAGGAAAAGCATAATTAGGGTGGAAAGGCTAGTAATTGAATCTCTACCACCACCAAACGCCGCCGCGTCAGATGACTGTTGTAACACTCACTTATCTTTCCCGACACTATAAATTAGTCAGAAAATAATTAAGTAAAACAGAAAAAACTCACCATTTGTAGAGTACTGCTGGCCAGTTACTACCTATGCATAAAATAAATGCGAATTGACACACAAGAAAACTAACAATAATATAATAATTTACACGACTACTAATGATAGATACTTGGTGATTTGCGTCTTACATCAATAATTAAACGTGACGGTTCGTGCCTTATAATATAGTTAGAATGTGTGATCATTCATTCTAAAATAATAATCTGTGTATCATTTTGAAAATATCATTGAGTGAATAAGCGTAATTTTTGCAGTTAAGTGTAAAAAATTAAAAACAAGGTTTCTAATAAGTAGGTCATAGTACTTGCCAATAAGTCGGTACATAATTATTTAGTGGTATTCATTTTTTTATTGTATCACCTGGTACCCATATTTAGTAGTCAAATTCTATAAACTGAAATGGCTCTGAGTGTTTAAAAGTTTAAACAGATATATATAATCGTTATAATGCGTTGCACCATAGTACAATAGAATAGGTTGAATACGTTTTTGCCAAAATATTACATTAAAAATTTGATCCCTTGTGTAGTTAAATTATGTGTCTAAAAACTTAGGAGTACCTACCTACTTTTGACTAATATTTGTTTTGCACCCAAAAATTATAATACCATTTACTTTGTCATTACTAAGAATAAAATTTTCGTCTCGATTTGTTACCACCTGTATATCATCCAGCATATTTTGAACTTCTTCCCCAGATTTTGGCAAAGGAGGAAATTTCTTTCGCTTTGCATTGTAAAGATTTCGCTTGATATTATGCAAGTCACTTACTTGCAACGCTTCAGATCGAGGAATGCTTTTAATAACAGTACACACTATTTTACTAGGTTTCTCATTACTATCTTCAACAGCTTTACGTTTTGCCGATACTGACACAATTTGCCGTTGTATATTTTGATCACTAAAAACACAATTATAATTTCAGGTT